CATCTTGACTAAAATTGGGCTAAAATTGGGCCTAATATTTTTAATTCCGTTTCTTGTGGACTGAGTTTAGCTTACCAGTCTCTTTTTACTGAATCTCAACACTTTCTTCCAAGTGAAACTTTTAGGAACAAAAGGTTGTCGTGTTGTACTCTATCTCCCAATGCTGAGGTCGGTAATGATAAATTACTCCGTATTTCTTAATCTATAAGTCTACGAATAGATTTATTCTATCTCCGTCTTAAATTAAACTTTTTGTTTATTATTTATAAAGTCAAACTTCATTCGATTTTTTTTGATTACTTTTACTACTCATGTGGTATTTAATACAATAATATTGTGATGTCACTTCTAATTTCGTAATTATTCGATACAGTTTTTGAAATATGTAAATTTTGATTTTTTAATTATGCCCCCATTCCGAAATATGTTAAAATAGAAATAATTTCAATCAAATTAATAAATGGAAATCCCACAAAAATAGTGGAACAAATACCGGAGTGGATGTGAGTCACGGAGTATTAATTGTGGAGTTATGTAGACTGTTGAAAGACATAGCAAAAATAATTAAATAAATAAATACAGAATAAAAAAAATTTAAAAAAAATCGTGACCTAACTAGAGAGGGGGTAGAGAGAGAGAGAGATTTGGCGTGTCGATCAGGTATGTTGGGCAAAGAAAACTCCGTACGTTTTCACCAAACGACAAGTATATATACGAAAATAATTAAAAATGTGACACATAATATGTTGTGAAGCGGTTGCACTCTTCCTCGCTTAAATATACTCTCTTTCCCCGTAAGCGGTTCACGTTTCTAAAGACAATTTGGTGTGATCCTTCAATGCATTTAAACATAAGTTATTGTAAAATAGAAAAAATTATACTCTATTCGTCTCAGAACACTGGAAATATCCGTGAAGCCCGAGGCTTCAAACTGGGACTTCCAAATTTCTATCTCTGTCACGTCAGCTTTAACTTACCTCACAGATTCAGTGGAAATGAGTTTGAAGTTCCGGGGATTCAAACAGGGGCTTTAAACCTTCATTTTTTACATTTTTAAATATACATCTTCTAAAATTAAATTAATAAAATTTAATTATTTTATTATTTAATTATATTGAAACAAGAATAATTAAAAAAATTACATTCATTAAATTAAAAGAAATTGAAGCGGCAATAATTTAAAAAAATTACATTCCTTAAAATAAAAAATTAATTATAAAATGGGAGGAGGTGAAGTTTAAAATTTATAAAGAAAATTAATTAATTTTTTTGCTTCCAACGGCTAAATTAGCCGTTATATGGGGGAGAAGCTGCTCAAACGTATGACGCTGTAAGGATAATGCCACGGTGAAGCCCTATGGGGCAGTGTTTAACGCCCCCTGGGCTTCAAAAGTATCATAACGCCGGTTGGCGTTACATGTATTACCAGTGGCCTGAGTGTTTTCCTCTAGCTAGACTTTGTTTTTGGATGATTGTTTTTTATTAGCGTTAGCGTTTTAGATAAAATTATAATTGTGTAGAATCTGTGGATGAATTTTTAAAATGCTAGCGCTAAAAGTTGTCGTCAGATTGCCTTTTCAAAACGCTAACCTCTAGCGTTTTCAAACGAGGCCTCACTGGGACAGAGGTATTAAATCACTAGGACCGTAAAAAAATAGAGTACTTCGATATGATTTATGTGTTTGTAAGGTTCATGACATAATTTAGTTGGTCAATATATAGGGTTAGAGATAAGCAGAAAGACCGGACTAGTCAAACTGGATCAGTCCCTTGAAAAACCGGTACTATTTAGGATGAGATTAGTCTGTTTTTTTAAAACGGTCCATACTAGGCTAGTCTTCATGAAAAAATTGGGACCTTTTGGGACCGGATAGTTTCGTTAGGACTGGTCCAAGTCCAGTCCAGCCCTTAATATGTAAAATTCTTAAATTTTTGTTCTTCCAAAAAGTACTCGTTAAAATTTTTAAAAAATATTATTTTTGATTATTTAATTACTTTTTTCTATACTTTATTGATTTATAATAATTATTCAATATGAATATTATTATATGAGATAAAAGTTAGATAAATTAACGAAAAAATAAGTTTAATATGTATGTTTCGTAGGTATGAGATTTTTTATCACTTCTTTCAAAATTTTAAACAAAATTATCGGATGCACTCTGCTCTATATTGATAGGATAAATATACTTCTACAAAAATTAAATTTTAAAGTACAAATATACATGTATAAAAGTTATACTACAAATATACCCCCGGTCCAGAAATAAACTTCTCGTTCCACGTTACGATATTTGACTGAAGTTATTTTCAAATAATTTTATATGAAAAATATTGTAAAAAATGAAAGATGAAGTGTTTTTGAGAACGGAGGGAGTATATCAAAAGATCTACAAAACTAGAAGTGACATGACTTTATTATTTTATCAAATGGGTGACGAAAATAGGACAACGAAGTGAATAAAAATTTGATCATGTAAATAGTGAACGAGAAATTTATTTGTGGACGGAGGGGGTATTATATTTTTAGTCCTAGTCCGATCTCAATATAGTCTTTTGGAAATGACTATCTGGTCCGGAACGGGTTTAGTCTTTCATAAAAAATCAAGGACCAAATGACCGGTCGTTCAACTGTTTAGTTCCTTGTAAGAAATAGGGACACTTATTCCCAAATAAATATTCAACTATTAAATTAACGCTGAAATTACCTCATTCAAATTACTCTTACATTCTCAGTATATTTGTCCAATTTAACTTTTTTGAGTTAAACTGGGTGAACTTTGAGGATCAATTAAATAAAAATTGTAACGTATATTAGTATAAAATGTAATTTTATGGGAGAACTCTCTAGATAGGAGTAAAAACTATGAAAATACCAAAAGAAGAGTAATAAGTTTTTTAAGACCAAAATAAGAGTTCACACTGTCATTTTTACACTGTCACACTCATCATATTGTCACATTGTAACTACAACGCTACCACCGCTACACTGTCATCTGTCGCTGTTAGCCACCTGAGTGTCACCGCGAATCAGCAGCGGCGTTGATGATTACACTCACGTATTGCAGTGTCATCATTTTTCCATCACAGTGTCAACTGTCAACGCATACTCTTACACTTCACTGTCATTATACTTCTTTTTTGGTTTTATAAAACTTAAGACTTCTATATTGCTATTTTCATACTTTTTTACTCTTATTCAAAATATTATTTCATTATACGAATGTGAAATATAATATAAATTAAGAGTAATTAAAGTTTAAAGTAGACAACTATACTTGGATGGAATAGTATTATTCACTCTTCCTTTTTATTTTTGTCATGTGCATACTTTATCAGCTGACTTATAAATTAAATTTTTTTATACTTCCTCCGTTTGGAAAAACCCTTCCCATTTGATTTGGGGGCAAAAATAAGGAAGTGTTAAATTATAGTTGATTTCCAATTTTGCCCCTGATGTGATGGGTAAAAGTAAGATGTGATGGATAGATTATTAGAGAAAAAGTAAGATGTGATGGAGGAGACCAATGGAATGACGATGGGGATGATTTGGTTAATTTAACCAAATATTATATACTCTGTAATTATTTTGAAATAAATAAAATATTAACCAATTGTCAAATTAAAACACTTATTTTATTAATAAAAATATTTCTAGATAGAAGTAAAATGCAGTCAAAATATCAAAATAAGAGTTGTATAGTTTTTATCTCCTAAAAATGTTTGATAGTGTGGTGGTAGATAATCGGTCAATGGTGGTCGACACAAACGATACTGCGGCGCTCCGATTGCACTATGACGTAGGTGGTAGTGTTATAAGAACCACTCAAATTATTTTAAAAAAACATTAAAATCGACCATTACTCCTCCAACTTTGTGAACTGTCTACGATTGACCTTTCAAGTTTCAAAAGTTTATAAATAGTATTTCAAATATTCAAGTAATTCAACGACTTCTAAATCCTGTCCTTCAAGTTTCAAAAGTTCATAAGTAGTTTTTTAAGAATTCATCAATTCTCCAAATATAGTTATTTTTACGGTAGACATTAAAAGCTAAATGAAGTACTAGCTCCATATATATAACTTTCAACCTACAATGGGTTTCATATGCAACTAGCTATATATATATATATATATATATATATATATATATATATATATATATATATATATAAAAGTTCCACCTCAGTGCCAAATGCAACTTCCGACCTTAGGGGTGCCTGGCGTTGGCCCCGTCCTTCGAACAACGCTATGGGTCTTTCCCTCCTATTGTAAATGCTGTTATGCTGGGGATAATTTTACTTTCAAAGGAGTTCAATTTGTATAGTAAAGAACACCAAACTTTGACTAGAATTGTGGTAACTCATTAATTCACTCTACGTAAAAACAATCACCTACGTATTGGTACAAGTACTTCGTATTATATAGATACATATACATACATACATATATATATATATATATATATATATATATATATATATATATGAAAGTAGTAATCTGTTAATCTTTTAACGTGTATCGTAAAACAGACTGCTTTTTGGGGATTGATGAATACTTTAAGGACTACTTATGAACTTTTGAAACTTAAAGCATTGCATGTGGAGGGTAATGAATACTTGAAAGATTATTTATAGACTTTTGAAACTTAAAGTATCAATCGTGCACAATTCATAAATTTAAATTATCAATAGTGGATTTTAGCTTTTAAAAAATAAAGCCTTATTTTGAAACGGACGGAAAGAAGAACTATATAACTTTTTGATGTGAGGGAGGGAGTATATCATATCCTCGCTACGCCTAACAATAAACATTGTGAAATTGAAGTGTATGCGACAAAGAGGAAATGAAAAAAGTAACACGTACCCCTGGCAAGTACTGTTATACGATTGTGACCCATTGAATGGAGTTTGAAATTGAGGGCATAATAGGGATTGAACGCAGCTACCCCTCCTCCCTCTATAAGTACACACTGCTGCTAAGGCCTTTTCCTAATGATAAGGGCAAGAGAAGAAGAGAGACTGAAATCTAAATAATTAAACAGCCTTTCATTCTTGCTATATTTTCATTACAATATATATATATCTCCGCCCAATACATCAATGGCGGTTCTCGATCTTCACCACCCATGGCTCTTTGGGTTTGGAATCTTAGGTAAATTTCCTTCATGATTCATGTTTTTCATCATCATCATGTTCCAAATAGATGCATGTGGCAAATTTTATAAGGTACAAGTGGGTGTATATTTCTTCTGGTACATCACGAATTTTCGAATGAACATTTCGTTACGTTGTTTAGAATTGAATGAACACTACATTGTTTCTAAGAATGAACACTATATTGAGCAGACTTCACAATTAATACTATGATTGGAAATGAACATTCTAGCTACTGATACAAAATAAACATTTTGTTGATACAAAATGAATATTCAACGGCTGATGTTACCCATATGTGATTCATTTGAAGAATATATTGGCGGCATACATGCATGATGCATGCTATAATTAAATGCATCATTAGATATGCATTCTTTTTATTCGGATTTAGTTCTTATTTAAAAAAAACCATTCTTAAGACATGAATTTAAAACATTCCCTCTCTTGCCAAATTTTGACATTATATTGCATAGTGTTAATTTTTCTATTTAGAGTTGATATATATTTAATATTTCAGTCTCATTTAGCTAGATTTCTTGTTTTAGAAAACCAATAATAAGATACTCCATCCGTTCTAAAAAAGAGTTTTTATTTCGACCAAGTGTAAAAATAAGAAAGTGTTAAATTTAGTAGACTTTAAATTTTTTCTTGATCTGATGAGCAAAACTAAAATGTGATGGATATATTATTAGAGAAAAAGTATAGTGCGATAGGTATGATATGAAAAACTAAGGATAAAAATGGTTTTTTAATAGAAAGTAGGAGTATTTTGTTGGAAGTGAAAAAAATGAAAGAGGAAATATTTTTGAGAACGGAGGGAGTAATAGACTAGCTTACATAAACTTATTATACATCCTTTTTAAACTAATTGTCTAACTTTCTTTTAATTTTTATTTTTTCCCAAAAAATTCACATTTTGTCCCAAGATTTTTTTTCTAAACAAATTTTAATTTAGTGTTTATCATTTAACATATTTTAAACTATGCAAAGTAACATGTACCAAAAAAACTAGGGTTAATAATATAGGTGCCCCTGTGGTTTATAAAAAAAACGTCAAAAACCCTTTTGTTTTCAAAACTTATTTGTAAAGTTCCTATGGTTTCTAAATACAGCAGACATATCACACCTTACCTATTTTTAAAGCAAAAGTGACAATTATGCCCTTTCTTTTCACCGATCTTGAATTTTTCCTAATTTTATTTTTTTATTATACAAATATATTAAATAAAATATACGCTTCCCATCTCAAATTAGAATTTTTTGTAATATTTTCTAAAAAAAATATTTTTTTAAATTAAATAAATGAAAATTTTTAATTTGAGAAAGAAGGCGCATATTTTATTTTATTTATTTGTATAAGAAAAAAAGTAAATGAAAGAGTGAAACTTGAAGATATAGAAAAACAAAGGGCAGAAATGTCATTTTATGTCTAAAAAGAGGCAAGAGGAGGCATTTGTGCAATGTTTAAAACCACAGAGATTTTAGAAATAAATTTTAAAATAAAAGAAGTTTTTGACGCTTCTTTTGTAAACCATGCTTCTATTACCCAAAAAACTAGGACCATGCTACACTTACACTAAAAAATGTACCCCATTTATACACCATAGTTATGCATAAACATTTTGATGGTTTACACCGACACAAGTGTTGATGCGTTAACAAAAATTTACATGGACACAAAGTGTTGGTGCGTTAATAAAAATTAGTTTTACACCAACACAAAATGTTGGTTAATTGGGGTATAAATGTTGGGGTACACATAGCTTAATCTAAAAAACTATGCAAAGTAACGGAATTTTTTGTGGCACTTTTTACACGTGTTCCACGCACAAGTGTGTGCGTTGCCGCCTTCAATAAAAAGTAAATAGGGAGTATTTGAACTTCTATCATGTCTCTGCCTAGTACGGAGTAAACGTAAATACGGAGTACTCAATAGTCACTTTTTTAGATAGATCATGCTACACACCCCACCCTTGCTACCAAACTTGCCTCCACCCACTTCTATACCACATATTTATCTCTACCTATTCTCCACCCACCCTCTAATTTTAATTTTCTTGCCTCCCTACCACATGTTTATGTAGGGGGGCATAGCAAGGGTGAAGGGTTTTTAGCATTTTCCTTTTTGGATAAGGAGTGCTCTGTTTGGTAATGAATTACTCCCTCGTTCCACTTTAGATTATAATATTCTCTTTTAATTAAAATTAAGAAAGAGTCAAATCAAATTTTTTGTCCTCAAATTACCCTCCAAATCCCCCCAAATAGTGTGAATAGTGGCTGGCAGAAAAGAAAAGGGGAGGGTAAAAGAGTCAAATCACTATAAAGTTATTGAATTTGTAATCCTTTTTGGGACAAAAATGTGAGGAAATATTGTAATCTATTTCGGGACGGAGGGAGTAAAAATTAACTGTAAAAATGAAAAATCATATTTATACAATAAGTGTTATCATCTCCCATTTCTCCTACCAGTTTTTGTAGTTAATATAATGTTATCAAGGAGTTGTTTTGTAATAATTTAAACATTTTAGTTTTATCATTTTCAAAAATTTATCCAAAAGAAATCATCCTAAATAAGAGTAAAACATAGAGAAACACAAAAATAAGAGTTCCATATTTTTATTTCATAAATATAAATTCGCAATGTAGTAATGTAACACTGTATATGAGCACTTTCCCCAAAAATAAGAGGAACAAAAGTGAAAATAGAGAAAGTGTTCTAAAAACGTTTGGCACAGAAGCCGGAACAAAAAGTTGCATGGACCACACAATTTTTTTTCTCAAAGAGAGGAAATTTTCTTTTCATCATGCTCAATTCGTGTGTGTTTGCTTTGGCGAAGTATGGATGTACTCATAGTAGCATCTATGTGTTAGCACTCTAGCATTATTCAGGTGTAATATCTATAAGAAAGTGATGCATGTCAAAATTAGTTGCAATACACCAAACATTTGTGTAACAATAATGTACAATCAAGCCACTAACTTGCTGTATTTTTGTGTATTTACTGTTGCAGGTAACATCATATCGTTGTTAGTATTCCTTGCACCAATGTAAGAACAAGAATATCTCTTATTCCCTAAAAATTGTATTTGCATTATATTATACTCGTAATATTATTTGGCAAAAATAGTTCTATTCTTAAAATGATTATAGGCTAAATCGTGATTTGTTCTAATATTAAGTATATATTATGCTGATTAAAATTTTCAATTATTTGGCAAAAATAGTATATATTAGTAGTTCAATTTAAATTTTCAAATATTTAATATCCCACAATTCTAAGATGAGGTTCATATTAGATTTTTCAGTCTTCAATGTGATACAGTTACTTTAAATATATAAAAAAAAATTATGGAGTATAAAAGTAGAGAAATTTACCTAAATAGGACTAAAACATAATGACTTTCCCAATATAGGACCATATGTCTTTATTTCCCGAGGACTTTTGGTCATTATTCAACTAAATGTCTATCATTACTAGACATTATTCCTTCCACTAGGTCATTATTAAGTCCTATTTAGAGAATAAAAAAGTTTAAGTTTTACATTAGGAAAGTCATTATGTTTTAGTCTTATTTAGTGCAAATTTCACATAAGAGTATTTTATTGATTTTTTTATAAAAGTAAGATATTTAAAAAGATTTACATTTTAAGACAAATCAAATGATACTATTGTAATTGGTAGTACATTCTTATCAAAATGTTGGTCAAAATTTTATAAATTTATCTCTATAAAATCAAATGAGAACTTTTTCTAGGCAAAGAAAACATTATGTAAAAAAATATGTAAGTACAATCAACAATGGGGTTTCACATTGACATATATAAGTGTAGGTCAACATTCATTCGAATTTGGAGAGCAAAATCAACAATGGGGTTTCATTCGGTACCGTATATTGTGGCACTCTTTTCTTCCATGCTTTGGATATATTATGCTTTCATCAAGAAGAATGCACTTCTCCTCATCTCCATCAACTCACTTGGAATCCTCATCCAGTCATTTTACATCCTCATTTTCATCTTCTTCGCGTCCCATAAAGCCCGGGTACGTATTCATCATCTATGTGTGTGTATATATATATACTCCGTGTGGGTCATGTTAATTGTACGTTTCGAACGTGCGCAGTGTCACACGTTGAAGGAGTTGTTTCTCTGCATTGGAGGGTTCACTTTAACTTATGTGGTCACGTGGTTTCTTTTCCCTGGTGAAGTTCGCATTAGCATTGTTGGCTGGATTTGTGTCGCGTTTTCCATTGCTGTTTTTGCTTCACCGCTTAGTGTTGCGGTAATAACTTATTTTTTCCTTGAAATTATTTCTTAATGTGATCCTACATTCCTACCTATACACACATTGCAATACAATTGAGTAAACCGAAAATAATTTTTAATGAAAATGACACTAACACGCTAATTACTTGTTCAGCTTCAAGTATTCCAAACAAAGAGTGTTGAGTTCTTGCCATTCTACTTGTCTTTCTTCCTCACAATGAGCGCAATTATGTGGTTCGGTTATGGTGCAGTAATGAAGGACTTACGCATTGCGGTATGTCCCCGATAAGAACATAATACGTATTGTGAGAAACATATGTTAACCAGCAAAAATCAACTAAAAACTCAAATTCGTGATCGTAACTCATAAAAAATTTTCTTTAAAAAAAGATGAACCTCATCCATGAGTGTCCCTATCGGACGATCACCTGAGACAAGGTAAATTGAGTTTTAATCGCAGATTAGTGGCAAAGGGTGAAACACGCACCTGCTACCGCACCCCTTGCCTTGCCGATCGCCCAACGCCATCGGCAGGAAAAAAAGTTCATACTTCCATGCCAAGTCCACTAATAAATCATCCATGCCAACTCTGCAGTTGCCAAACATATTGGGGTTCTTCTTAGGGCTGCTTCAGATTTTATTGTACGTGGTATACCGAAAGGCAGGGCCAGTTAAAGTGGACGAAGCCAAGAAAACAGGGGAGCAAATGGTGGACATGGAAATGCAGCCGGACACGACGTCATCATCTAATAATAACAACCAAATTTCGGTGCACCCTATAGATTCAGAGGCAAATTTGAAGGAAAGTGCCGCTAATTAATTAGTTATAGGAAAATGCTAGGGTGCCACCACATGGGTGCTACCATGTGTACATAGAGGTTATCAATTATTAGGCAAATAAATGAGATGAATGAATTGAGATAGAATTTTTATTGCATTATTTACTTTTTACTCTTTTTTTATTCTCTTTTAATATGAAGGGTGATACCAGATTTTGAGTCAATTCATGGGATTATGTTTTACTCCGGATTATTATTGTTACTTTTCTTCTTTGGTTCGTTTCCATATTGGTGTTATAAAAATTGTTCAATTGAGTAGAAATCCGTATAAGTATGTACGAAAATTAGTTTAGAATTAAAAAAAAAATCATCTTTGTCAAAATTAGAAGTTACTCCGTAATTTTTTCGACCAAATGAACATGCACAAATAGAGAAGAGAAGAGAGTAAAATTTGATCAAAAAAAATGCACCAGCCGGGAATCGAACCCGGGTCTGTACCGTGGCAGGGTACTATTCTACCACTAGACCACTGGTGCCACCTGCTTCCTGTTTTGAATACGTGATACTTCTTGTGAAATGGGTTTTAAAATGGTTAAATATACCTTATATGCATTTACTGTTAATTTTATCTACATAAAAATCACCATAATGCAATAAATCATTCTCACCTCCTATTTCTACACATTCACGTATGTATAGTGAATTGCTCATCTTTTTCCTTTGCTCTTTTTTTTTCTTCATTTCCCCCTTTTCCTCTCAATTTGCTTCAATTTCTTCCTTTTTCTTTGTTCATTTCTTCAAGTTGGTCTCCTCAACCTCCCTAAGGTAAATTACTGCAATTTACCCCCTATTTTCTTCATTTCTTCAATTTGCCCGACTCTAGAACTGGAAGCCAAAATCGCTACTTCATCTATTTTTCTTAAATAAATGTAGCATAATGCTCCATCCATCTCATAATATTTGTCTCGTTTGATTTTTTAGTCAAATTAGGCAGATCATAATTAATCACCAATTTTATTAAATTTACATTACATTTTAAAACAATAAAATAATTTTTTAGTATTATACAAGATAGATATAATTAATTTATTTTTGTATGACTATCGGATTTAAACTTTATTTAATTGATAACCAAAAGTTATTCGAGACGGATCCCATGACATTAGTTATTATCAATGTCCTGGGATGATTCAAAGCCCCTTTATTTGATTGTGCAAGTGAGGTAGCGGGTTGAGTGTTTTTGTAAAAGGAGAGCAATTGTAGATGTAATTAATTAATTATCGAAGTATTCTTGTAAAATCAAAGATTTGTGGTTGCAAAATATTCCTTTTAAAAATAAAAATGGGTTAGAGGCACATGAAAAAGACAATTGTAACCCTCACTCTGTTTTTTGACCGAAGTTCACCCAAGGAATCACTCCACTTTAAAGGGACTAATCAATGCATAATTATGTGCCGGGTACCAATTTGGGAAACACCTTAATTATCAAGTAGATGAGCATTTGGGGACTTCACTCTAATCATAAGAACATTAATAATTATAAACATGTGTAGTCATTCATATGTAGAAAATAGAACCATTTGAAAGTCAGGGGGGAAAAAGAGTTTGAAAAATAATGCAATGCTTGGGGAGGTGTTATTCAACTCATCTGCTATTTTCCACTGTAAATGTACACACACCCATTGCACTAGAAGAGTTCTTGTGGTTTTCCAAGAAACCCAAAGGTAAAAATGGAGTCAACAATAATACAAAGATACAAAGTTGGCCTTCCCCTAACAAGAGAAGAGAAGGGAAATGAACTGTACACACACAACAAGTGGACCCCCTCCCCTCATCCATTGCTTCCGTCACAACTCCCATCGCTGCCTTGCTGTCGCTTTTCCCGAAATTTCTCCCCCCACATTTTGGCCTCTGCCACGGCGCGCTCCCTCTCTATATCCCTGTTCAGCTTCCTGACAGTTTCCCTAGGGGAATCTTCCTTCTCGGACCCGTCCAAGTCCCATTTCCTACCGGACCCACACCCAGACCCGTCCTCGTTCTTCGATAGTCTCAAAGCCCTCTTATCATCCCCAGAGGATTTGTTGGCGGTGCAGGGGTCATATGCCTGATTGGCCAAGTAGGAAAGGGCAGTGACAACATCTCCAATCAGAGGACGAGCTGCAGCCTGCTCTTGGATACACATGGATGCCACAGCTAGAGCCTGGTAAAGGCCTCTCATTGGAAATTGACCTTGCAGCTTTGGATCAGCTAATTTCGCAAACTTCCGGCGATCATTGAAGAGTGGTCGTGCCTGCAGATAT